GTAGTAGTAGTAGTAGTAGTAGTAGTAGTAGTAGTAGTAGTAGTAGTAAACAATAGCATAGCAATAGCATGAGCATGCACGAGTCTCCTTGTGTATTTGGGAGAAAAATGCCGGTTCGTTTTAAGTAAGTAAAACTAAGAACTGGCCAGGGGGTGGTTCGGAGAAGTTGGAAGACACCTGAACTGTCAGATTGAGAACCACTTAGCTAGTTGTTCCTTAGTGCCATTTAAAACGTCTGATCGCGACCTTAAACGCTGTCCCTTATGTCGACCCGCAACGGACTTGGAGAATTCTGTTTTCGTCACCTTGTCGGCAGACTCGGCAAGGGCTGATAATGGTCGCATTGCCGGCACTTGAGTTTAATCTCGTGATCCCTACGTTCCCCTCTTCCTTGCGACCCTTAGTATACTGATGACGCCCGCGATGGACTTCCACTGTCTTGCCCCACGCATTCTCATCAACAGGACGGTCCTATTTCGTGCATATTTTGCTCCCAAGAGCAACAGTTTTTTTTTCATCAAAATCCCTCAAATCACATTAAAACTTCTATAGTTTCTGAAAAAGGTCCAAGGGGTTTTTCACTATCTGCTCTTTTTGCCTTTGTTCCACCCACTGGCTCGCGTCACGTGGCATCGCCAAGGAGCCGAGATACTATTCCCGAAGTAATAATTATACATGTAATTATAATACTCGTAATAAGTAACTAGTCTTCTATGTTTATTCTTTTCGACTAACCGATGGCTGCTCGCTTTTCGTCAGCAATTATGTAAACGATCTCTTTTTGAATTCTTCCGCTGTCTCGATGCCTTTCTTAGTCATTGTGTTACCAATGGACAGCTCAAAGCTGTTTGCCTATAATCCCTTTAATATAAATGGGCTTAACTGAAATCGCCCTGGTGTAGGCAACGCCGGTTCAATCTGAACGAAGTGTGCAGTTTTAAGGGTTGATAACCAAACGCAGTTGAGAGGTAGCTAGCATTTTCCCTCTTCGTTTTTCGTAGTTTTCACTGTCAATGTCTGAGGCAGAGTAGTTGTGACCTTTTATAAATCTTTTCCAGTTCAACCTGGTTAGTCTCGATAATGAAGTAAGTCATTATACGTCGGTGAGAGATGTCAACTTGCCCACCGGCCAGGACAAGCAAAAGTCACATTCCACAAAGAATCTGATGGGTTACAGGAATTACGCGAAGTCAAAGGATTTATTCGAATCGTTGCTTAGAGTTTGCTCTCTATCCGCTTTATAAGACGGGATTTCAAGTCCGTCCATTTGAATACATGACTGACTTTTAAAGTGACGATTTCCCTACTCATATTAATTCCACAGGTGACAGCGATAACACAGATTTCAGTCAGAGATGCTTAAAGTGCGAGGTAAACCTTTTATAATAGTGCCTTCACAGTATGCAAGCAGGCCGGATCGTATTTTGAACTGAAAAAGAATCTCAGTTATACGACCGGGTTTAAATACTAGTTGACTTCTAATTTACTTATAAAAGATTGCAACAGACAGGGTAAAAAAGAGGTTGAGTAGAACGTACACTTGTTGAAGGCCACGTCGTTCTTGCCATGGCCTTTTGTCAAAGCGGTTGCCGAAGATCCGAGACCAATCTCGTAGGCAAAGGTCTGCCCGCGAGACACCCACTGATACTCTCCAGAGC